TAGTGTTTTAAAGGTTTAGGGTAAGGTTTTTTTAGGGTATAGGGTTTAAAGGTTTAGGGTAAGGGGTTTAGTGTTTAGGGTTTAAAGGCTTAGGGTAAGGGTTTTTGTTAAGGGTTTAGGGTTTAAAGGTTTAGGGTCTAGGGACGACTCAGAGAAGACAGCGCGAAGCTCACAAGAAAGAAGCAGCCCGGCCGTGGCAATTTCCAGAGCTCTTGGGCCAAGCTCCGGGTGCGGCAGCCTTGCAGTTCTGCCTGGGGGCTACGGCAGGGTTTAGGGTTTAGGGTTTAGGGTTTAGTGTGAGCTGTATTGGCTCCCTTGAGCTGGCTTCGGGGGGGTGACAGAAGGGATGAAGAGGGTATGCGATGATGATGATTCAGCTCGTAGATCTACATTTCAGTTCTACAGAGATGAGGAAGGAATGCGAGTTGTCACCATGGAAGCACCTTGAATTCAACACAAATCCCTGAACCCTAACATACCCTAGCCCTCCCAGTTGAGGCCGCTCGATGAGACAAGCTGCTTAGTGGCTTTGGCTGAGTCGGTGCGGCTGGTACACAGAATCTGCTCGTAGGCATGTTGGACCTGAGCCCAGCTGTGTAGGGTTCGGTAGGCATATGTAGGGTTTGGGCCTCAGAGCTCTGAGTCCTTTCAGTGTCCCTAAGGCAGCAAGCTATGGGTGTCTGGGAAGATCGGAAATAGGATTGAGGACATGTTGTTCAAACTTGGCTGCTGGTCCACCTTAAGTCACTAGCGATGATATCATGTTGAATGCAACGTTTATGTCCATACATCTTCGCTGCTTGGGCTCGGGCTGGGATACTCTTATATTCAAGTGTGCGGGTCGTTGCCAATAGTGAATGTAAATGACGCTGCTTCGAGAAAATGTGCGATGCTACGCTGCGTTGCACAGGCTGCAGATTTTCAAAGAGCATCTTCCCGGTGCAGAAAACCTAAAACCCTGAACCCCAAACAGAAAACCCTAGACATCACCCTGAACCCCAAAACGTTTCCCCCCACCCCCCTCTCCTCCTGATTTCCCCTAAACCCTAAACCCTAAGCTAGATCCTACACCAAACCCCTAAACCCCTAAACCCTAAACCCTAAACTAGATCCTAAACCTAACCCCTAAACCCTAAACCCTAAACCCTAAACCCTAAACCCGAACCCCTGAACCCCTAAACCCCAAACCCCTACACCAACTCTCTCCGGCCTGTTGAAACCTGGCCGTGCTCTGCGCCAGCTTCTCGGGGTTCTGCTGCTTGTCGGGATGCCAACGGCGAGCCTTCGTCATTCAGGCTCATGGTTTACGGGTTTAGGGTTTAGGGTTTAGGGTTTAGGGCTTAGGGTTTGGGGTTGCAGGCCCTAGACCCTAAACCCTAAACCCTGAACCCTGAACCCCTACAGGGCTCCGAGTTTCGCACTGGGGGTTTTGCGTTCAGGGCTTCGGGCTTGGGCCTAGGGTCTCCTTTTGAAGGCTCCTGCGGTTTAGGGCTTGGTGTTACGTAAGTTTTAGGGTTTAGGGTTTATGGCTTCAGATTAAAAAGTTTATTGTTCTTGGGGTCAAGGATTTGGGGTTCTGGGCAGGGGCCAGGCCCTTGCCAGCGGCTACACAAGCATGAACGCACAAAAGCCACTAAACCCACACGCCATCTCTCACGGTTCATCCGAAACCTCGGGTCGTAGGAAGCCCACGAAGCCTCGCGATAGTACGCTGCCCGAATCTTCCGGTCATCGGCAGTCCGGTCCAGGCCAAGGACCGCATAGGGGTCACCACGGAGCTTGCATCCTAAGTTGGGATTGAGGATGTTTTCTACAGACCATACGGGCAAGAAGCGTTTCGCCTTCAAGGCAGCACCATAACACCCTCCTGCAAACCTGAACTGACCCTTACACCTAACCAAAGTTGTCCATTAGAAACTGCACCTGCTCAAGACAAGTCTCGCAGGGATGGTGCTGACATTGGCCGAAAGAGGCAGGTACTCTTCGCGTAGCGAAGATGCAGTCAGCGCGGCCATTTAGGGCCGAGCTGTGATCAAGCTCCGGATGTCACCCGTAACCCTAAAATCCTGAAACCTTAACACCGCACCATCCTGAAAGCCTGAACCCAAAAGAGTACAGGTTGAGTGCAGCAGCGCTACAATGGCTCGTTCTGCTGCGAGCCTAGGGCATTTCAAAACCCATGCATGGAAGAGGCATCTGAGCAATATAATAGATGGATTTTCTGCCCAGTTTCTTATAATGGTAAAATTAGCAACCACCAGACAGGCTCGTCCGTTCGTAGGGAAGACCTCAGTAAAGCTACAACTTACAGACTATCTTTTTACTTAGGCGATTCTGAGAACCTCCAGGAAGCCCCTGAACCCTAAACCCCTAA